AAAGGTTTGTTTCTTGTGTACTTTGCAATGCTTTGAAAAATTGGTTTCAGATGTTTGCTCCTTTGTTGCACATGATGTGTTCAAAACAGAAAAATTAAAGGCTCCAGTGAAATAACAAGACAGGTTTTTGTTGTGTGTCCTTGTATTACTCGCATCTTAGTATATGTCAAATATATTGTTAGTGGCTCTGAGCTGTGTGAGGCTTCCTGTTCTAACAGTCTGAGGATGAGGGAGGAGTGGGTGGAGGAAGACAGCCTGCTGCAGTTTTTTATAGGTTCATTTTCTTTCATGAGTCATAATTTCAAGCCCACGGCTACCTTTAAATGACACAATCAAATGCCTGAATGATTTGATCAAATCCCTCTCTCATTGATTTCTCATTCACGTCTTGCATTTCATTTAAAAAAGGTCAAGTTAGGGAAGCGACTGAATCTGCCAGTGGTGGTTAGTGATGTTTAAAATCCTGGTTGTATCAGTCATTATTGCATATTATACAGCTTACATGTATGGACAGGCTGTGTATAAGCCACCATGACATCATGTCTCATCACATAACATCAGATATCTCAGGTTTGGTATGTACATTGCCCTTGCTCTGTTTAATCCTGTTCCCTACTCTAATCTCTAACATCATCAACTCCAGGTAGTGGAAGAGTGGGATGAGGTGGTGGAGCCACAGAGGATGGAGTGAGAGGGTGCTTTACCTTGGCACAGATAAGAAGATGAACCAGATTTGAAGGCAGATAGATCTTGTTGACAGCACATGCTGCCTCTTGGCAAGCAAGGTGAAGTCGATACTGAGGAGGCCTCCTAAGATTTACAGTATGAGGAGCTCCACAGCCCCACTCTGTACTTCAGTAGATAGATGAGTACTTCAGATGGTGCCAACTAGCCCAACATGAGTTGAGCTGAAGGTCACTGTGACTCATTCCCAGCTCAGAACTTGGGTGGCTGGAGACAGAGCGCTTAACTTCTGCTACTAACTTGTGTTAGTTAAACAAAGAAGTCGGCTCTGTGAAAGGCAGCGGACCAGCCCTGTGCTGCTACTGTACAGCACTGATGCAACACATGTACAGCGCCAAAGACAGCTGAGAGTACAGTAGCAGGGAGTGGGTACAGATTGCTGTAGAACCACGAGGCATATGGCAGGGCGCCCCACGCCTCCCAGCTAATTGAGTCCTAATGAATCCTTGGTTTGGCATGCTACATGTCCCTTGTGATGCCTGGTGTCATTGATTCATTGAAGATGCCCAGTCCTCTGGAAGCGAAGTGGGCAGTGACGGCTGCTCTGGCTGAATGTGGGAGGCAGGCTGACACTGTTGGCTTCACGCTGAACACTTTACTCGCCCACCAGATGTTACAGGCCAAAGCATAAAGATTACTAGCCGCCCAGCTCTGCACAAAGGGAATAACTGTGTGATGGGCTGGCAATTCACTGCTCCAGTTGATTCCACTCACACTGTACAGAAGTGGGGTCGCTGCCGCACTGCGAGCTCACAGAGGTCAGCGCCAAAAGGGACATACTGTAATTATGGGAAATCACTTGAAGTCAATGATGCTTGACTTCTGTTTTTGCTGAATTTGCAAATCCATCTATAACTAACTATTACTCTACATATGAAATAATGGAAACACTGCTGCCATTAGCAACAGCTACCGTTTACTTTTCAGGTAAACACTTTTCTCTTGTTTCTAGATATAAATCAATCTTCCTAACTGAACTGCACTTTGAAGTTGGACACATAAACAAAATGATGTCATTGCATAATGTTGAAATAAATATCAGTTTTTAAAAGTTGCAATTTATGGTTGCTAAATATTTGTGCTTCTTTGCTAGATGATTTTCCTGAAAGATGTCGAAGCAATCTATCAATGAATCACATTTCATTTAATTAAAGTACATTATCACGCAGATGTCTCAACACACTTTACAAAAAATATACATAAAATGCAATAAACAGAATAAGAACAACCAAAACTAGACCAATAAAACACTATCCACTATCCATATGTCAAGGAATAAAAATAGGTTTTAAGTTTAGATTTAAACATCATGACTGATGTTGGAAGCAAAAATTTGGGAAATATACTTATTTGCATTCTTGTTGAGAGTTTTCTGAGCAGATCGATACCCCAGTCATGACATTGTGTTAAATATGAAGCTGGAGCCAGCAGCCAAATAGCTTAGCTTAGCTTAGCTTAGCTTAGTAGAAAAACTGAAAAGGGGACCAACATCTACCGACCAGCACCTCTAAAGCTCACTAATTAGCATGTTATATTTTATTTCTTTAACTTGTACAAGAAACCAAAGCAAAATAATGACAAGTTGTGGTTTTATGATTTTATTTATGTACTAGAATATTTCTCAGCTGAAACCAGCTTCATTGCAAAAGGACACTGCTCTCAACCGATACAGCACAAACCTCCTGTAAAACAGTAAACTGTCATTTTTGTGCTCAGGTGTTTGTAAAGATCTTCTCATCTAACTCTGCAACAAAACAGATCAGAATATTTCCAAAAATGTCAAACTACTTCTTCAGACTTCCCATGGGAGAGATCTGAGTTCCTTCTCTTTCGCTGCCATCACATCCTGTAGCTTGAGTCGTTGCTTCCAACACAGAGTTGTCACAACTCTCCCATTGCACCTGTCAAGTTGATTACACCCCCCCAGTGGAGCATATGCATTGTTCGGCATCCGACAGTGCACCGCTATCTGAGCAATTTCCCCCTTTTGTTCAACAGAAGCAACCAGGATCACCTCTGCCTGCCTCCGCCAGGGGCCACATCTTCATTAAAGAATAAACTAGATGTGATAAGCCCACCAGCAAAACGAGAGCTCAGACACAATCTTGCAAGCTCATTAAATTAAATTTTATTAAAGATTTAGGCCGCTCCAGCAATCCTGCGTCTATTGCTGGACATTAATGTCCGTGTAACCCGTGTTCATTAGATCCATTATCTTAGGGCACTTGGAAAATCTTAAGGGAGTTCAAGATGAGGTAATACCACTACAATATGAAGAGAAAGAGCAAATGTGATAATACACCAGGCTTTCAGCGTGACAAAAGGCAAGAAGCAACACTACAGCAAATGGGTGAAGAATGTGAAACAACTACCAGCCAAAAGTGTTGCACTTGTGATGAGATAACTGGAAAAGGAAGTATCCAAACTGCTTCCACTATTTTACAATAATTGCAAAACTGGAAAAGGCATTGTGGCCTTAATCAGATCAATCATATGTAGTTCCCAGTCGGTTTCAGGAGCTAAATTAAGTCTCTTGATTCTGCTGGGAAACCCAACAAAGAAGTTCGCACTGGAGAAGTTAATGCTCTCTAGTGTTTTGTTCAGCCCCGTCTTAAGCCCCACAACTCACACTAGGCTGCAGAGAACTGTCTTGGGATGACAACTGGAAATTGTACTGTGTGTGGACATGTCCTACAATCGAGCCAGAGAGTGCAGCTTAGCATCTGTAAGGAGAATACTAAGGGCAGGTTGGCTGATTGGCAGAAGACACCAACAAACTCTGGCACCAGTATCACAGTGCTGATGCTGACCTCTGCTTATTGCACCAAGACAAACTTAAACATGACTTGTAATCATTTGTGCCAGCAGGAAGGAGGTGAGCTGCGATTTTTCACCAGGGGTTTATCACTGCTAGCTGATTTGATGCTACTTCACCACAGCCAAAGCAGAGGCCATCTTTTATGTAGGCCTGCACTTACATGAGCACACAAGCAGAAAACACAGATCACCATAATAGATATATGGTCCAGTATAAACATATGCTTTTGAACTGGTAAAATTGGCTCATCTTCAGTTTCACCCAAAGGAGGTTAGGCTTTCGAGTGAAAAGTTTAAACCCGTGGAAAAGGCCTGTTATGAAGATTACTTAATAAATGGTTGAAGACTGGTCTTTTGCAAGTATTTTTAAACATACAATTCTTATTTTTTCACTTTCATTTACAAAACAATACTCGAATAGGATAAAATCACTTAATATGAATATTTTTTGTGACTCCCGAGTCAGTATGTTTAAATATAAAACCAAAAAAATGGACTATAAAAAGTTTCATCCATGTGTATTCCATACCAAAAAAAGATTACTGACCCGTCTAATCGCTGCGTAAGGGGGAATCCAAAGGTGGGCGCAACTGCCTGCCTTGGCGCAGTTTAAACGCCCACACGCCTGGACGTTTCTACAATTTACAAGCTCGTGTCATCTCCAGACCGCAGAGCTCATCCACAGGCCTGTATGCACAGGTCTGAGGAAGACTTTGGCTCAGCACTGCTGGTCAGACCGGTGCCGCTGCGCAGCGCTGTGCGTCCCAATTCAAGCATCCATCCACAGGTACCCAACCTTCAGTAAAGCCCGCTGAACATCTTCTAACCGTTTCTAGCCAGAAATCAATACAATAACTAGCACAGGTGTCATTATTCACAAATTCACTTAGTATCAGCACGTTGGAGGATGACTTACTGCTGTTGCAGCAGGACATCTCTTCATTTGAATATTTGGAGAGGGAGGGGGTACAGACGTGGTGGTGGTGGGGGAGCTTTTCGTGTTTCTTGATGATTGTATTTTAGACGCATGTCGTGTAGCAGCATCATCTATATGTGCAGATCATGCATCGAAGTCATTTCAAAACGAAATTTTAATTTCCAGTTTGTGCGCAATTCAATATGGGACAGCAGGTTATTTGACAGGCGACCGGCGTTTGCGCTTTAACAGACTCCACATTCAAATCCACCAAAATGCCATCAACGATTTTACTCACAGACTCATTTCTGATCTTATTTGTTTCATTTGAACACATATGCGACTGTGTCCGTCTCAGTCATCCATAGCGGACGGTTCCGCAACCCATTTTCATTCAGTGGACATCCGATCCATAAATCTTGACATGTCGCTGCGCTGCCTTGCATCCTTGACCAGCTCTATAGTTTCACAGTTTAAAAAGACTCCCGTGAATAGAGAAGCTTAGAACTGAAATGTCACTCACCTTTTCTCAGCGAATGCCTTTCTGGAGTGTCCCATTTATGCGTTTAATCCACATCTGTGTTGCCTTCATTTGAGCGTTCTGTTTTTCCCTCAGTAAGAGAGAGAGAGAGGGAGAGAGAGGGGGAGACAGAGCGTGTTTAAGAAAATCCATTTGTTAATTCCATGTGCCGGACAGACACGGTGAAATCATTGTCTTTACTTTTAACATGTTAAAATTTTTCCTATAAATCTAAGATCCCGAAAAACTCTGTCTTCGTTTTTGATTTCTCTCCAGCGCTGAAGTTGCCTGGTTACCCCTGTTTCTCATTCAAGGAGGCTGAAGCGCTGCGTACAGCGGCCAATCAGAGCAGCAGCCGGAGAGATTATTTCTTGGCTCCACTATTCTAGTTTCAGGCTAAAATGAGGAGAGTGGGCGGGGAAACTTGGCCCCCGGTGCCAGGAAAAAAAAAATTAAAATGCACAGAGAATAATGTAGAGACAGGGGAGACGTTGGAAGCAGAACGTGTGGATGGGGGGTGGGGACAAAGGGGATTAAACATTTTCAAAAAATAAAGGATTGGGGAGAGGAGGGGGAACCAGTTGCCTCTTCTCACAGCCACAAAGATGTAAGTGAGCGATATTCTATCTTTGCAGGATGTCACACAAACTGCAGTGGACCAGTGGCTCCTTCAGTGGACAATCGCTCTTTAATAAGGAGCAGAGAGCTGTGTCATTTCTGAAATCCCCAAGAAGCACTCCATCAGGGTAATTGATCATCCACCTTTAACAGCAACCAGTCAAAAAGCCAAAGGTCTCCCCCTCCTTTCTCTTACTCCCTCTATCCCTGACCCACTTCAGTCTTCTCATCATAGGTTGTATTGATTTCAATTCCCCCCTCCAGCTGGGATGAAAGGTGTAGGGGAGCGAGTCAGTTTCAATCACTGGTACACATCGTTTGGGGACACAATGACCCCCCACCTTCATGCTTGGCTAACGAAGGGTTCTACTACATCCAGGTCAAGGACCCCTACACAGACAGACGCCTGTGTGACTGCCTACAGACTGGTGTCTTCAGACAGGCCCCACAGGGTGCCACACTTTCTTGTGTTGCACCCACTGAGTGTGATTGATGTATCGCTGGCTTCACTCCGTCCCCCAGATTACAAATGAAAACAACAGTGTTGGGGTCCTCCCTCCCCCACTGCCAGACGAGAGCTGAGTGTATTTATATGTGTATATAACCCACTGGCAGAAGTACACACACTCGCACATACACTTAGCTGTTGATTGACATGTAGTTCTTGGCTTGAGCACAGCTTAATCCCGCTGCTTTCACAGATGGACTCCGTCTTCCTCTTTTTGTCTGGTGTCATCAGCAGTGGCAGTGGCATGGTATACATTTACACACACACACACACACACACACACACACACTGTACAGTACCATGGACGTTGATCTACTGAGGAGGGTGGCTGCTGTGTGGGTTCTAATCCTTGCTGAAACCCTACCACCGTTCAGCGGCCACCCCTGTTCCTGCACACACACACACACACACACACACACACACACACACACACACAAGTACACACAAGCATCTACTTTAAAAAAACAAAGGAGGTCAGTGTCAGGAGTGGAATCAGGCAGCTGGGTCTTGTGGAGCGAGAGTTAATCCTCCTTTTCAAGGTCCACAGACAAGAAGAAGCCTCGTGGATGAAATCTTTCACAAGTTACTGTACAACATGAACACGCCATTCTTGTGCCACCTTGTTCATCCGACTATCTTAACAGTAACAAGGAGTGTTTGCTGTCCTTCAGTCTCTCAGCTCTTCGTAGGTGTATTATTAGCCTGAATCATGATGGGAAAGACTTTCCTCCCCCTCCCCTAATTGTATTCCGCTTCTGCAAAGGCTTTGATTTCCATGTAGATGGAGCTGTGTTGATAAGGGCGAGGAACTGCCCCAGAGAAATGCAAGCAGATCCCCATCTAGACAAAAAACGACAAAGAGCTGAGTCATCACCTCACATGGTGGTTAATCTCTATTCCATCCAGAGATCAGCTCAGTCAAAATTCTCATTGACGCACCCGGCAAATGAGTAGTCATGTCCCAGAGGAGAGATGGTTAACTGGTGGCCGCCATGCAGAACCTTGGAGCTGATCAATAACTAGTTTCTTGTAACAGTGACAGATATGACACAGTATGCTTATTGCTTACACTTCAACAGGGCCTGCAGCTAAATAGATGACCACTGATTAAGTCAGTGACACAAGAAGACAATCGCAGAACAAACAGGTTACTGAGGAGAGAGAGGGCTGTTTGCTCAGTCTACTCTGAGTTCTATGCTAATGGACTGTTTTAGTCAAGTCTAATTGTATTGTGTGAATGTGTGAGTGATTAGTATTCAGAGAGGCATGACAGGCGAAGTCTGACATCGATAAATGACATGTGACCCTTGACCCCGACTGCTCGGGCTACTGAAAAGCCCCTCTCCTTCTATCGGTCTCACCCCAGGCTTCATTTCCTGTAGCGTGGATAATAATGGCATGTCGGGAACAGAGCCGGAACAGCTGTGCTTCACCCATTTATTGTCAAGGGAGACAAGTAAGTTGTTCAAGCTAACCAACCAGTGAGATGTGTAGATTATTCACCCAGATGTGCCATGCAAACATTTACTACACACTCTTTACACTTTGTAGCAGCATGTCAACTATACAGTACACAATATTACTAAAACTGTACAAAAGCTCCTCCACTTTTTACATAAAAATGAAGAAGGCATTGTTTTGATTTTTCAGGCCAACTTCACTCTTTATCACTTCATGCTCACCACCCTGATTACCATGTCCAGATGTACCGGGCAACTGTTTTCCACAAAACGCTGTACACTATCAGCCTTGTAGTAAACATCATACAGAGAAAGTTAGTGGTTAACTGGGGAACACAGTGGAGTATCAATCAGCTAAAGACTTCCATTCATCACATAGAATGCAAAATGGCAGCTGTGTCCGTGTCACCGTTTTATGTCAATACTGAATGTGTTTACAGCTTGTTCTACTGGCACCTAGTGGCCTAAAAATCATTTAATAAAGGTTTAAGCAACTTTTGACCTTGAGAGACTAAGTGTATTGTTAGCACCTGTTTTTTTCCACTCAGTTATCCCTAGACCAGGAGACTACATTGAAACGTCAGGTACAAAGGAAGCTGAAAACAAGTTATCAGTATAAATGCAGCCATACTCCTGATGCTCACCAGTTTTAAAACGTGCCACACAATACCTTAACTCTCATTTGTGTTTGTTTTATATGTGGGTGGAAACAGGTTCTAAACACTGCATTGGTTTAAGGTATATCAAGGCTTCTCTGTCCTCTGACTAATAATGGATTTCTTGAATGTGCCTGAAGTTGAATTTAAAAACATCAGAAGTAAAGCGGGAGAAAATCTAAGGATGTCAAAGTGCTGGTGTGGTCCATACAACAAAATCAGGGAGAGCATCTCAAACCAGTTATTTAAACTGGCAACTACAGGTACATCTTAGGATGCTGCATCATGGTATCACTCAGAACGCAACCGCAGCACAAAGGACACACATCTCTGGAGCTTAAGCTCAAAGTATGAGGGTTTATCATCTACTAAGATTAAATCACCAGAGCAGGAAATAAAGCAGATGGATGATGACAGGTGCCAGTTTGGAAGGAAAAGGCAGGGGTTTTATCCCCATCTGCTGAGTTCTTAATTAAAGGCAATAACACTATGTGGTTACATTGCATCTGTACACTATTTGGATACAGGACAGTGTACAGTGCCAAGCAGCCTAAAGTCCATTAGCTATTTGCATCTTTTTGTTCCTGCATTCATGATGCATTCTTGTTATGGGATGACATTGTATGCATGCATACTTCCAAAATATCTCAGTTGCCATAAACACTGGAGATGTTATATGTTAATGTACAGTATAATTATGCGATGCAGAGGTAGAAAGTAACTAAGTACATTTACTCAAGTACCGCACTTTTACAATTTTGAGGTGTCTGTACTTTACTCAAGTATTTTCATTTTCTTCTACTTCATATTTAGACTTCACTACACCACAGAGGCAAAAATGATAGTTTTAACCCCCCAAAGTTTATTAGTTAACTTTAGCTACTAGTTAAATTTTAGAATCAGATTAACTACACAAAATACAGTATCATCAGAGTTTATTGATCCGTAGTGGGAAATTCACAAGCTACCCAGCAGGAATTCAAACTATAAATATAACATTAGGTCCATGTTTACCAGCTGCAACACTGAAGTGACAAAAATAATGAAGCAGATATAATTATAATCAAATAATATGTAAAATGTACCATTCTGCAGAAAGACTACTTTAAGTATATTTTGGTACTAAAGCTGTTGTACTTTTACCTAGCATTGTGAATGTAGGGCTTTTACTTATAACAGGGTATTTTTACACTGTGGTTTTGCTACTTTTACTTACAACAGGTCAGTTTACTGTTGCTGTAAGAAAACAGAAGAAGTATAAAAACAGTGAGATGGCACATTCTTAGCCCAGTAAGCAACTCCAAGCACACAGTAGCTTCTTCAGGGTGCCATGGAAACACACAACAGCTCACTCATGTCTGGCTTGTCAAAGAGGCCCTTTATTTGAGCAAGTGTCCTGGGTGTTTGGAACGCCCAGCAAATGTGTTGGTCTTTCTGTAGTTGTGAGGACACTATGCATTTCCTTCCCCCTTACTCTAACCTCAGTAATCCCAACTAAACCTTAAAACCAAGATGTAATCCTCAAACAGCCTTCCAAAAACTGTCCAAAATGTTCTCACAGAGATAGTTTCAAACTTCAAGTTCACCACACAACCACATGTACACAAACACACACCCCCACATAGAGCACATACTGTATGCGCACTTTCCACCCACACATCACTGTGTCACAGAGGGCCAATGACAAAGACTGTGTGACAGTATGTGATTTATTGTGTCAGAAAAGAAAGTACAAGAGGGTAATTGAGGGGTGAGTGGAGGAAACAAAGTATGCAGGTGTCAGTGTAACTTTGTCTGCCATCACAAGACGATGATGAATTTATTCATGGGTGGGTGACGCTTCCAAGTCAAGGACAAACACCATGTAATTACCCCATAAATTTAGAAAGTGATTAATTCTAAATTCCAGCTATTTAATTAAAATAATCAAATAGACAGCTATTGCCGTAACATGCAACACACTTAGAGGAGTAACCAAGTTTGACAGGAGTTCAGTCACCACAAATACACACACACACACACACACACACATACACTGCATCTGTCTCTGTTACGCATTTCCGCCATAGCGCATCACTGATTTACTGAGCACATTTGGGTTTAGCAGTGGTGACTCAACCA